AAAGGTAGATTACAAGTTAGTCAGAGCGTATATTACAATTCTCTCGTCTCCAAACAAACAGATTCCAGCATCACAGGTCGAATTTGTCTGAGGAGGTCACCATGGAAACAGTTTGCCACTCACGCCCTTTCCAAGCGCGACCCGTAACTTGGAAGTAGCCTACTGTGATTACTCAGCATTTTGTTACATATAAAACACGCAGATTGCGTCCCAATTTCTTTTCCCACAGAAATTTGAAAAACTTGACAGCCAGAAAGCCATAATTCATACACGTACCCAAATCGTTTTACTTTAAGAAATAGTTTTCTTTACATAACGTTACACCGATCAAATTCACACTCGTTTTGCGTTCACAAAGAAGCATAATTCTTCGCAGTGGAAAGATTTCTTTCAAACTGTAGCCTATAGACATCATCATCAGCGGGCGGGCGGGATCGTGCTGCTGTGGTTTGTATCTAGGTCATGTCCATCAGCCGCCGCTTCGCTCTCAGTGGTGCTCGGTCAATGAAACGCTCAGCTGTGGACCAGAGGCACAAATCACACAGCTGATCCATACTGAGTCACTGTTGTGTACCCTGTAAATGTCTCACTAATCTGGACACACACAAGCAATTCATTATAATTCGAAATATTTGAGGAGAAGAATAGAATTAAATAGAAACTAGCAGATGGTTGCCAGAACTTGCAATGCAGCCTAGCTTAATTGTAAAATGTAAAAAAAATTATAGTTTTTTTTCCAGTGCACAACACTGCATTCATGTTGTGACCGGAGGTTCACATGACAAAAGAAAACATACAGAATGCACAATACACAATAATACATAGAACAGAATAACTTTGAGTTATCTGAAAGGTCAATTAATAAAGGAAATTGAGACGTTTGAGGCGTGAAGAAAAGAGAGGGTGTTTAAGTACAGAGCAGAAAACACATTGTTGACCCAGTGCCCTGGCAGAATACCCAGTGAGTCAGTGTTCAGCCTGAATCCTAGATCAGCGTGAATGAAAAATGCTGTGTGGAAAATCACAGGGTGGCTGGTTCTAGGTCTGTAGTCTTTCCCATTAGTATCATTACTGATCAAAAATGACAGTGCAGAAATCAAAACAAAACAGTTTGTCGTGGAGTTACCACTGAATGCTGAGCGATTGCAGACAGTTTAGATAAATGTGTTTACAAAGCCTCAAATTGGCAACTGTGGATTACACTATAAAGTTTAGAATTATTCTTTCTTTCCGTCTCTCATTTTTCTCTCTCTCAGACTAAACTTCAAGTGATCGCTCTGAAAATTCCAAGATAATGTGAGAGAGAAACCAGTCTCCATGGCGATGGTCGCTAGTCGGTGAATCACCCTTAGTTACAATTGCACAATCAAAATACAGGATGAGAGCCCAAATTGTGTCCATGGCAACTTAGCGGATGTGTTCTACTTAGGGAGCAGGATTCTGGTACTTCAGGTTGAGACGGCATTCTCACCAAAAATATTTTGCAATGTCTGAAGTCTCTGAACCACTTTCTGGCCTTTCATTTCTCTTCAGATCCCACTAGCACTGTGCCATGAGTCACCTGGCTGACAACCAAATGTTTCTCATATTCAGCATGAATTCCATCTCTAAATATGAACTAACTTAAATGAATACTAAATGTAGTTAATCCATTATGTAACTGTACTGACATGGCAACGTGGCCAACTGACCAGCGGCCAAAGAATGAAATCCCATCACACTAACCATTATCTTTAACAGACATGAACTTCCTCCTACTTTATTCAGCTTTCTGTGTGTATCAGGCATCATCAATAGATTATATATTTATATATATAAAATATATTATTATTTAATGGGGTTATTTTATTTTTATTATCGAACAGTGAATTATATTTTAGATATAATATTTATTTTTGATGAGTTTAGTAAGTGTTGTATAGATTAAGTTGGATGTGATGGGTGTGTTTGCATTAGTTTATATGATTTATGTACAGTGTCTAATGCTAGTCAATGTTGGTTGTATGTGTGTAAGTCTGCACTGGTCAAGACTTTCTTGATCTCAATGAGGCCATGTATTGTCTGACTGTAGAAAGCCACATGCACACAGGAAATGGGGAGGATTATACAACATCCTCTCACCTCTCTGCATGTGTGTTTACACGACGGGAGTGAGTCACAGAGAATAATAGGGGAAGATTCGTGCACACACATACATACCCACCCATAAACTCAAGTACATGCACACTCACAGATACGTACACATAGACCTGGATTAATAATTATAATGATGACGCATAAATGGATGAAATATCTCCGTCATCTCTTTGTGTCTGGGGAGCTGGCAGTGAGGAGAAAGAGTAAGTGAAGCAGAAATAGACTAGAGGTTCTATCATGTTCTGTGTTGATTTCAGGTCAGGACTGTCGGAGGAACAGTTGGATAACAGCTTTCCTTGCCCTATTTATCTGTAATGGCCCCCCATTGTGGAGCACTGGAGCTAGAGCTGCTGTTGCTTTCGATGAGACCTGTTTTTCATTCATTCCTTTTCTCCTCCCTTCAATTGTTCTCTCTTTTGTGCCACTGTATTATTGCACTGATATTAACCAACTTGTGAAACCTTGGTCTCCATCTCCACTGTTATCAAGGCCGCGTAGATCATGTATAGGTCCTCATTAGAAACATATACATCAGGTCTTGCAGTAGGGGGACCACCTATTGCTCTGTTGCTTACAGGACAATGCGGGACATGTAATTTACATAACATGCTTTTTTTCTAGCAGTCCTGAAGACCTCGATTAGCTGGTTCAGGTGTGTTAGATTAGGGTTGGAGCAAAACTGCTGGAAAGTGGACCTTGAGGGCCAGAGTTGTGAACCCCTGTTTTAGACATTACTAACATTTCAGTGCATCTTGAACTTGTATTTTTTGTTGGATCTTTGAGCAGGACGTTCATATTCAGAATGTGTCCAGATCAGACATGGGCAACTTCGGCCCTGGAGGGCCACTGTCCTGCAGAGTTTAGCTCCAACCCTGATAAAAACTCACCTGTCTGTAGCTTTTTTTGTAATCCGGAAGACACTGATTAGCTTTGCTCGGGTGTGTTTGATTAGGGCTAGAGATGAACTCTGCAGGACAGTGGCCCTTCCAAGACTGAAATTGCCCATCCCTGGTCTAGATAAAGTAGGTGTAGCTGTATTTAACCATTTTTGATGAGGTCCACACTGGTTTCTGGTTTGTTCCGTCCACGCAGTCGTCATCAGCAGAAAAAACCTGATTAAGGGGTTGCAGCTTACATGTTGACTCCAACTACGCTCTAATATTCATATAGCATAGCTTCTCATATTTGATTGCTTAAACATGAACTTCTCTTCTAATGTTCTATTATCTAGAGTTCAGTAGTGTAGTGTTCTGCTGTCAGCAGTTCTGTAGTGTAGAATTACTCTCTTGGGCTTCCACAAAGAGGGGGTGGAATGGAGAGAAAGTAGGCAGTGGCCGGAGAAAACGGCAGAGCTGGAGGAAATTCTACCAATTCTCCTTTTCCACTCTTCCTCTTCCACTCAGACATGCTCTCAATATTTCCGCCTGGATGTTTCTCTTCTTTCCTTGCGCCCCTCCCCAGCTTCAACTCATTTTTTTTCCCTTCCAATGTTTTTCAGTCTATTATTTTCTGGCTCAGTCTGCATTAGCAGATGGTGTGTTAAAGCTTTCATTCCTTCCACTATATCGGCTATACCGATGGAAAAACATCACTGTCAGAATCTATCCAGACCAGAACCAATTCATGAACTCATTTAAAACCAAAGCCATCCTTGGGGTTAGTGATTTGATGTAACTTGACAGGGGCTCAAAGAGCCTTTTTGTTTGTATAATATGAAAAGTATTAAATATACCCCGCTTTATTCTGAGGCGACTTTTTGCTCCAATTGTTAAATTACTTCACTTCTTTCATTGCACAGTGTTATAGCTGAGTCACCGGTTCTTCACTCTTGATTTGAGATAGTGGCACTGGATTCTCTGGAGATGTTTCTCTTAATCTAAAGCCAAAACAAACTATTTTTGTTATTCACTGCTTTAGGTATAAAATGCTTGAATGAGTTTAAAATGACCATAAATGTAGCTCAAGGCTGATCTCTAATTAAATTGGTCTCGTCTTAGTCTCAAACATGGGTATAAAGGAGTTTTTTTTTTTTTTTCATTAAAACAACACACACATCCCCCATCTTTGCATGTATTCCTGTTGACTTGGGGTCATGCTCACTTGTCTAAACTGGGTTGAGAAGTGCAGAAACTTCTCAATGATCATTCACTAACCTCATTCACTGTCCCTAGCTTATAGGCTGCTTCGCTTGTCAAACATGATCACAAAGAATTTCCGCTTGATAAATGTCCACAGCTCGAAACTTGTAGCTACTTCTTATTCAAAACAGAACAGGACATGTGTTTAGTCATGTGAAATTATTGTTGTGAGTATATAATATTGTTAAGTGTCAGCGTTTTAGTTTCATAGATAACCATTTAGGAGAAACAATTGGGGTTCAGGATTCAGTTTATTAATCATTGATTCCATGTTATCATCAAATATTTGTGTGATTCATTAAAATATATTACAGGCATGGGTCAATCTAATTCAATATTCTGATTAATGCTGTGATAATTAATTAATCATTTTCAATCATATTATCCTAAAAGAGGGCACAAAGTATAAAATGTGTTTGGGGGCAGATGGAGATCCAAAATACAGAGCATATGAACTCTTATCCCACTCAACACATCATTTTAAACAATATTTATAAATTATAAAATGTTATAAAACACTCTTTGGGCTTCAAGAGTGTGAATTTCCAAGCAATAATTGAGGAAATGAGAGCTTTAACAGCATTAATTGATAAATAAAACATGAAATGATGTTGGAATTTTTTTTAAACTTAACCACAGACACCCACTCATTTTAACTCACCAACTGTCTACATGATGCTTGGTAAAAAATACAAGGGAAGACATAAAATCATACAAAACAACAGCTTGAATCCAGTTCTGAATCAACTGATTTCATTTATTGGCTACGCTGAAATGAGGCAGAAAATGACACTGAAGGAACAATGAACTGTCTTGAATTAGCCCTGCACAAAAACACACAATATCATCTAAAACCTTCTGACAGAACCTCCAGCCAAACCTAAAGATGACCTCGACCATAGCATGAGATGAAGAAGAAATCAGGCTTCTTATCTCTGATAGGCTGAGACATTCAGGAGAAAAGTAAACAAACACACACACACACACACACACACACACACACAGAGAGAGAGATGGTGTCACTCCATTAGGATATTCTAGTTCATAGGAATAAGACAAGAGTGACATGTGTGTGTTTCCATCTCTTCCTGCTGCTTCCAGTTTAGGTTAATCCTGTTTTCCCTCTCTCCATTGGCGTGATCCTTCATTCCATGCAACGTAGACAAAGAGTGCCAGAACCACGTGGACGGCAAGCACAGCAACGATGGCAGCATAGAAATAGCTGTCATTGCTGGAGTAACCCAGAAAGGCTGTGAAGAAAAGAACAGAATTAAGGAGAAATTATGGTAAAAGCAAACCAGCAACTAAGGGCTTAATATAATGGCTTGTTGAGTAACACATCGATATTTAGCACTTGAACTTTGTGTGGATTGTCCAACAATAATTAGAAGAACAACAGCAGTCTTGATGATGATAATAATAATAATAATAATAATAGTAGCCTTCCAGACAGCAACATAGTGTCGGCCCAGATCCGGCCCGAACCCACGTGTACCAGATGTGGGCCGGATCTGGGACAACACTATGTTGCTGTCTGGGCTATTATTATTTAAATAAACAAATAAATAAAGTTGGCTTATCAGCCTTTGTAAGCAAAATACCTTCAAAGAGAAAAGACTTTGATGTAAAATACAGTCCGATGGGGAGAGTTATCATCAGAATAGTGAAAAACAATAGTGTCTTGAGCACAGAGACAAGAGAACCGTCATTCCTGAATGAATACAAGAGGAAGAAAGAGACAAGGAGAAATTAGACCAATTAAAGTAGTCGAAATGTGGATTTTAAATGATTTAGAATCACCAAGTGCACCGAATAAATTAATGATATTATATGTAAATGTTTATTTCATTTTAATCCATTAGTTTCTTGGGCTTAGTGATTGTGATTTTGGTGTGAGAGGTCACGTGAAGTCTGAACAGAATAACGTTGAGCACATTATATCAAATATCTTACCCTTTGAAATCAGGCACGGTTCCGGGAATGGACCCGACATCTGTCTTGTCGTATTTTTCCATTGTGTATTTTTATTCATAGGCAAAAAAAGAAAAATCTTGAAAGGAACTCAATCGCTGATAATTCCGTGCTGCGACATCTTGAATTATTTGCGCTTCCGGGTCTTTGTCACATGATCTGGATGATCATGACAGCAGTTGTGTGCATGTTTGCGCATGTCCGCTAAGGGGCGCCGCAGTACTGCAACACAGTCTATGGCCCTGTCCCAAATGGCACACTTCATGTGCACTTTCGGTCTTGTGGACTTACAATGGCTGCCTCGTGCGCGTGTCCGTTAAGTCCGTGAGACCGCAGTGTGTCCCATTTGTCATTTTTAGATCTCAGAAGGGTGCTCGCGAACGCCCCCTCTGCGGTCGATTTGCGCCCTTGATGAGTAGGGGGAGGCTGCAGACCTGGAGCCGGTAGATATACGCCCCTGGCAGTTTTACGCCCCGGCAGTTCTACGACCCTGTTGTTCCTGATACGTCCAGTAGAGGGATATACTGCGAAATAACATCATTAAATCGACGCTTAATAACCCGTCCATAGACTTGACAATTTTGTGTTTTTTTGTTAATTTAAATATAAACGTTACAGTGTAGATCTGCACGGATTAAATTATCTGTTTAACAAAAAAAACAAGGGGGGTAAACGGACATCAAAAGAGATTGAATTAGGGTACACAAATCAATGCAATATTCCATTTTGTCAAAAAACATGTAAGGTTCTTTACAACAGACTCAATGATATTATTTGTTTTATAAACCTTTGAGTTTAAATGTTCTGACATTTTCTTAAAGGAAGAAAAAAAATGAACTTTATATCAGAGGAGAATATTCTAGAATCAGGATTACTTTGAATGGTTCTGTCTTTATGAAGATGAAACTTGCCCAGAAGACAAAGTAATAATACCGTATAATCAAGTTTAACATCGTTAGAATTAAAATCTGACAAAAATAGATTCTGTCGTTTGTATGTTAAATAATCTGCTAAAGTTATTGTTTTTTAGCAATGATGCAACATTTATTATTTATAAACGATTAGCTCGATAGAGCTAGGGTAGGTAGATATCAATTCATTTATATATCAATGGATGGGTCTATAATGTATTTTGACAGGTTTCTGTTCTATCTGGCTTAACTTAGCTACACGTGTAGGTTTAGCTTCCCCTTCAATTTAAAATTAATTTGAATTTGAATTTTCTTTTGTTGCCTGTCTTTAGCTTGGCCTCTTCTGGTAAGACTCTGTTTACTCCTTGCATTAAAACATACTCCACGTGGTTTATAGAGCAATATTACAGTAGATAATGGAAATATGTGAATTTTTTTTACAGTCTATGGTGTGAACACACAAAAGACACATTTATAATAGGTATGTAAATCTCTCTCTCTCTAAGTAAAGAGTTAAACTGCACACTCACTCAAATACGTTAAAACACATTAAAAACTTTCCCCATATGGTTTGAATGTAGATTCTGGTTTGAGTTGTTTCTTATAAATGAGATGATCTAATTATCTCATTTATATCTTAATATACATTTTTTCTTAAAATAACTTACTGATCTGGACTCAAATGTAGGGTATGTGCACTTAATGTGGGTTTTATCATACTCTGTCTTTACCAAGTTCTCTTTAACTTGGATCTCATAAAGGTGTGTTTGCTTAAGGAAATACACACACACACACACACACACACACACACACACACACACACACACACACACACACACACACACACACACACACACACACACACACACACACACACACACACACAGGGACAAGGTCAAATTCACCATGGATGTCCTTTTTAACTTTTTTAATGTTTCATTTTTTAATGTTTCATCAGTGAGCAGGAGCAGTTAAAGAAAAAAAAAACAGTTAAAGAAGAGTGGCAAACCATAGGGGAGTCATCATAATTCATAAATGGTGTTAATAAATATTTTTTTGTGAACAACAATATTGTCTATATCTTCTAAATGGCCCATGGGATTTTAGAAAAGGGATAAATTGTGTTTGTCTTCATAAAATGCTGTGTAGGACACTATTTTGTAGCTGTATGATGACCAATAGAATAGTACAGCAGATATTTCATCGAGGATCCATATTATTACACGGTACTGCATGTCTAATGGGCTAAATATAGTTAATATCTAAATGTGACTTTATATAAATTCACAAAAACATATTTCACTCAGTCTCCTGTATATAAAAACCTACGGTGAATTGGCCTATAACTGCAGTAGGTCATAGCATCACCTGTCATAACACATAGTTGATCCAACTATGTGTATTTTTAATTTTTCAATTCACAAAAACAAATAGTCTTCTGTAGGTTGAGTGAAGAGAGTGAAGCCCAACTGAATATCTACAGAACATTTAATCCGTGGAGATCTACACTGTAACGCTTATTTAAATTAACAAAAAAACACAAAATTGTCAAGTCTATGGACGGGTTATTAAGCGTCGATTTAATTATGTTATTTCGCAGTATATCCCTCTACTGGACGCATCAGGAACAACAGGGTCCTAAAACTGCCGGGGCGTAAAACTGCCAGGGGCGTATATCTGCCGGCTCCAGGTCTGCAGCCTCCCCATATAGCCCTTGATGCGCACTTTTGCCGAGCCCGCGCTGATGCGGACTCCACAGCAGACTTCTTCCCGACATTCAAAGCGGCGTTACGTCGCGAAAGTGCGGACTCAGAGGAAGACCGCGAGTGCTTAGGGTTCCATTTGGGACAGGGCATATGACTGCAACGCGTTTCCAGTAGTAGGCTACACGAGTATACCTGAAAAGTGAAAACAATCCATGATCTAGATCAGTGGTTTCAATCACGCTCATTTTGTATGGCTTCCTTTACCACACCTGATTCAAAGGAGAGAGCTCCATAAACGAAACTGAGTAGGTTATGTCGCATAGACTGTGCTCACTGAGCACCTGTGTGTCCACATACCCGCACTAAAAACCACTGGTGGCCTCTCTTCCTCCCAGCAACTTCTAGAAAAAGTTTTAATCTATAATAACTTCTATTAACAGGGGATCGTTTTCAAACATTTTACTACATTATGATGATATCGCTTAGGATCAAATGATTCTTATCTAATTTAAGATATTATTTTTTAAGAGATTTACTTGAAACCAACATAAATAAAAAAACAATTCTGGAGAAAAACAGCATTTGTGGACTTTTGACTTAAAACCTTAGTTACTGAGATAGCCATTGTGTTAGTGACAACTTGTATAAAAAATGACAAATAAAATTCTATCCTGTAAGTGTAGGCCTATATTTGTATATAATTTTATAATCATATATATATCGTTTTACTCAACAAAGCTTGGAGGATCTCTAAAACAATTAGAACATTTTAATATATATATATATATATATATATATATATATATATATATATATATATATATATATATATATAAAATTAAATAGAGGAAACCGGGGCTATTGTTGGACATTTTACTGCATTATGGGCTTTGAGTTTGAAGGACAAAATGCTTCTAATTTAAAATATTTTTGAACTTCAAACAAACATGATAAACACAAACCAGCATTTGAGTAATTCGACTTTTGACTCAAAGCCTTATAGTTAGCACTTGTGAAAACACCTGCTGGTCTCCCATACAGTAACTTATTCATAAAACATGTAAGTAAATTCATATAAGCAAATACATATGAATAAAAATGAGCAAATAAAATATGTCTGCTCAAAATTAAGACCCACGAGTCTCCAAACCCCTCAGTGCCATATGCTTTTATTCTACTGAGTCTAAGGGTGTACTCACACTAGGCACGGTTGCCATGAACCGGGCCCGAGTACGATTGTCCCCCCTCCCCACTCCCCCTCTGGCCTGCACTCACATAGGGTTTCAGCATTCGTGCCGGAGCACGCTTACGTCATTATGGTGCGTGCGACGGTTTCGGGATAAACAAGAAGAGCGGCGCTCTCTGAACAGAATTAGTCCATCGCTCTGTTTTCTTTGTGGATAATTTTGTGTCGTTTGGTCCACGGTGGTCCACAGCCCTCTCACAGCCTGTTGTTAAACAGATGCGTCGCCTTAGTGACGCGAACATTTTCACGTAATCGTGCTGCTCGTATGAGGAGGTTTGCAAGGTACCAGCTGAAGTGCAGCAAGGACTTTGCAGCTTTGATTACGGACTGTGTTGGTTTTGGAGCGTTGCAAAACCATGACATCACGCGTCCTGTTCCGTGCTCCAGCACGGTTAGCGCTCACACTGCATGCGAACCGCGCCCGAGTCCAACTGAACCGTGCTCTGGCCCACCTCTTCCAAGCGGGCCAGGGCCGGCTAATCGAGCCGCGCCCGGGCACGGTTCGGAGCACTCACACTAGTCAAACGAACCGCGCTTTGGTGGTCAAACGCACTCGGGCACGGTTCAAACTGGCTAGTGTGAGTACACCCTAAGAGCCATAAAAGCATTTATGGCTCTTTATATCTGTGGTGCATCAGGGTTAATAATTCCAGACGTTCTTTGAAAATTACTGCTCTGGAGAATCTGGTTATCATCAGCTGCCCCTTTCAGCTAGCACTTTAAGTGTCTGGAGAAGTGATGAATATCCCTCAAGGATAGGAGCATGAGTGTGTGGTGTGTGCAGAGTAAATGAAGGCAAGTGGGGAAAGAGTATGATTGACATATGATAGATAAATGGAGGCAAGATACAGCAAGATAAGAAAGACAGGACTAAAAAGAAAGAACAAGGTTTAGTTCTCAGCACCACTGCATGCAGACCACTCAGATTGGAAATGCCCACTCTGATCGTAGGGAAATACAGAACATGATGTAGATATATCTATCAAAAATATTTCACTAAATGAATTCTTGTTGCAAAAGTAAAAACATACAACTCTATATACATTACTTACAGATGTATCATTTGTGTTACTCTAATGAGCATCAGTCTTATTTTCCTTTTTTATTACTGCAAAAAAAAACACCCCAAATCTTTTCAGTCCGTAACTTGGAGACGCACCTGATATGCAAACCATCCATATACAAAGAGTTTACAAAGGAATTTACACACAGAGCATCAAAACATATTTTTCAGTGTCGGTTGCCATGGTATCAGGCAATCTCTATAGGAACTCAAGAGCAGACAGACTCGACAGTCTACAGTAGTCTTATTTTCTCAGTTTTTTAGCTCAAGTCTGCTCAAACAAAAACATAAAAAGGCTGATAACCACTCCATTTGTTAAGGAATGTTCATTCTACAAGGAATACCATTATCATCTTCTAGCCTCCACACAGACATAGATATATGGTACGACGGTGCTAAAGGCACACCTCAGTTATAGGGATTTTTTTTTTTTTTTTAATTCTACACTACTGCCACCTGATGTAGTTTTTGTTCCTTGCCACAGTCACCTTTGTATAGTTCAGTTGGGGTTTAAAAAATATTAATATTCAGTAATTTTATTGAATTAATGCACTGACCCAGTGCCAGCTTTTGTACTGAGAGTGTAGTACTCACGATCCCAACCTTTATCTCCAGAGTGAAATTACAGATGGATAGACGGTGATTGTTTTTGAACCGTTACATTTTGATGTCCGGTGTTGTAAATAAATAGTGCTCATAAATGGCTGTTGTCTGTTGAGACAATATTCAATTTCTCACTTGAAACGGACTAGAGACTTAGACCCAGAAACAGTATTCTATACTTCACAACTTTGGAAGCAGGTCATTATTATGCAAAATATAAGTTGATACTTGTTCAAAATTCCTTCAACAAAGTTTGTACCATATTATTTATTTAAAAACATAAATTAATTCAATAAACATTCCTTTCATTAACATTAGTTCATTTTTAAAAAACAGAAAATGGAATTTAAAAGATTCTGAAATCTTCTTACACATGAGATATCATTTAATATGGCTTAAAATAAATAATATTTTATATTATAAATTTGTGATTATCTCCAAGGCCGACACCCAACATAATAGTCAGCCAGCTATTTATTATTAGTTCAATTAATGTGCCTGTAGCCCCAGGGACGCTTTTCACCCCAAATACCATTCTTATATATATTTTCAGTTGACAAACCAAGTTTAATTTCTTTGAACAAAACTTGAAAACAAGATCTTTGTCTTGAAATATATTTGGTAATTTGGATTCTTATTTGCTATATAACCCTATAATGGCGCTTTTCCACTGCTGGTACGGCTCGGTTCGGCTCGCTTCGCTTTTCTACTGCGTGGTACGACTCGACTCGGTACGGCACGGTTCGGTTCGCTTTAGCTCGGTTGCTTTTCCACCGCAGTTAGTACCCCTTCAAAGTGGGTGGGACTGATTGTTATTTTGTCCCTACACTGTTTGTAGGTCCGGTGATAGCCGTGTGCGGCTAAGAGCTGAGCTACTTCTTGGAACACTTTTTTATTCCGTTTTGCCCCATCCAGCTCTCGCTGGATCCGCTCCTCGGCAACCAACGAGAGGAACGTCTGCACCTCGTCCACTGACCACGATTCAGCCATTTCTTTTTAAAGTTTAAAAAACAGATGCTACCGCGTTGGCTGTTGTCTACTGGTTATTTAAATCTAGCGGGTTTAGTGTCCAATGACGCTGGTAGTGACGATTCTGTCTGACCAATCAGTGATCTGCAGTGTTTTTACGTCACATTTTAGTACCGGTACGGTACGCTTGGAACCTCAACAGACCAGGTACCATTTAAAGTGAGCCGAAGCGAGCCGTACCGTACCGTACCATGCAGTGGAAAAGCACCACAAGTGAGCCGTACCGAACCGAACCGTACTATGCAGTGGAAAAGCGCCAAAGCGTGCCGTACCGAACCGAACCGTACCGTACTATGCAGTGGAAAAGCGCCATTACATTTTAAAAACCTTAAATATTAGATAAACCTAGTACAGAATTGACTTTGTGTTTTTCGCCCACGATCACATCAAGAATCATCCCAAATTTCCCGGTGTTTCAAGAACCGCGGGTGATTAGAAAAGTGCTGTGGGGATTTTTGCTGCAATCTGGGAAAATAAAAACATATGCACATTTTACCCTGGTCCACCTCTTGGCCTGTTGTACCCTTATATTGTGGTTGTTAAGGTAAATGGGGGAGTGATCTACTAGAAAAGAGTATGTGTTACTCTGCCCTTATACATGTTGGTCTCTTTCACGTTATTATTAGTTCCCGCCGGTGACTGTTTACTCTTCATGGCTTCAGTGTTGTACCTGGAACTTTCACTGAACAGCGCTCTTGGGGTGCAGAGAGCATGAAGAATCTGTTTGTACTCTTGCCTAAAGTTCTGGTTGAGCAACCCGTAGACAACAGCATTCAGACAGCTGTTGAAATATGCCATAAAGTAGCTGGTAACAAACAGCCACTCCGGGACATTGGGCGCCACTCTTGCAGGGTTAACCGCCACGGCGAGCCCAATGAAGTTCAGGGGCGCCCAGCACACGGCGAACAGTACGAACACCACAAACATCGTCAGGAAATTCCTCATGTCAGCTGCTCTGACCTTTGGATTGGGCCGGACACGACTTTTGACCCTAATCACCAATGTCCATATACGCAGGTAACAGAAAGAAACCACACCCAGCGGGAGAAGGAAGTGGATCAGAACAACACAGACTGTATAAGAGGAGCTTGCTGTCTGGGTGAAGGTGCAGGAGAAGATGCGTGGGTCGTATTTTAGGGAGCCCACAAGGAAGTTGGGCACGGTGGCCAAAGCGGTTAGCATCCAGGTGAGCAGCAGGTACAGGCAGGTGTTCCGGCGCGAATACAGTCGGTCGTAGCGAAGACTGTGGCAGATGTAGCAGTAGCGGTTGATGGCGATAGCCGTGATGTTGAAGACCGAACCGATCACACTCAGTCCCATTACAAAGCCACTCAGCTGGCAGTGCAGGGAGCCCATTGTCCAGCCATTGTGGAAGATAGCGAACAGAGCCAAGGGGTAGGGGTACAGCGCCACCACCAGGTCAGCAACAGAAAGACTCACCACAAAGATGTTACCTATGCGAGAGAGAAAAAGAGAGTGACATAATATAAATTGTATTTAAATATTTACATATATATTTAATTATCTAATTTATTTGAACCAATACAATTACGCATGACAACTGTTGGGCAACCCAAACACAACAGCAAAGTAAAATAAATAAATAATTAATTAAAGGGATAGGTCACCCAAAATAAAACAATTTGTCATTACTTGCATAAAAAAGAAGGCATTCTGAAAGCCATTGGAGTCCAAATAACATTGGACTCCATTTTATGGAAAAATAATAAATGAATAAACATTTCTTAGAAGAAAGAAACCATATGACAATTACTCATAACAACCGGACAAAGTAAATAAAAGTAAAGGAAAATTCACCCAAAATGAAAATTCTGTCATCATTTACTCATCCCTATATCAGGAGAGAAAATGATGACAGAATTTTCATTATATTATTATATTATTACATTTGATTGCCAGTGGACAACATGGACCCCACTGACTTTCATTGTATGGACAAACAACAACAACAACAACACTGAGACACGAGGCATCGACATGAGGGTGATTAAATGATGATTAAATTTTCATTTTTGGGTGAACTGTAGCATATATGAATACATACAGTACATATGAAGGGGGTATTCAAACTAATCACATTGAGAGTGTTGCTAGTAGATGTTCCCCCTGTATCTATTTGTATCATGAGGTGGATCACATGAGCTCCACTCTCTGCACTGTCATTGGTAGTCATATTATGTCATTGTACATTTGCATATAGTTGAACTCTGCTCAACTTTGTTGCATCGCCAACGGTCTCTGTTGCTCATGTCACCTCAAATCACCAACTCTCATTGAAAATGAATGACTTCCGGTTGCTTTGTCGCTGCAAATCGCTGTCAGTGTGAACGCCCTTCAGGGGACCACAAGGACTGCTGTGCACAGGATGCCTTTGCCAGTTACCATATGAGGGACAATGAGTAAATGTGTCTCTTTTGTCTCTAGCACCAAACCATTAGTAAAAATTGTTACTATTACCATCTTGTTTTTTCGCTTCAATTTTATTTTGTATCCTTCTAAATTTGATTTATTTTGTTTACTTGTCTATTTATCCTTATTTTATTATTTCATTTTACTTTGCATTTAAATGTATTTTATTTAGACAGATACTTTACTAAAGGAAATTAAGGTGCAAAAGCAGTCAGGCAAAAAATATACAGAGCCCCTAAAGGGACATGAAGGAAAAAAATATGAGATGGGAGGAAAAAATATATTTCAATGCTTTTGCGTTCCCCCGAGAAACTGCATTTGCTTGCAAAATGTTTGTGTTCCCTCAAGAAACTTTGTGTTCGGAAAGTTTCTCGGGGGAACACAAAACTTTTGTGAGCGAACACAATAGCATTAAAATATATTTTTTCCTCCCATGATCTCATATTTTCCCCATGCAGCATTTCCCTTTTATTGCTCCTTAAAATGTCACCACATATTATACAGTAAATAACAAAACTATTACATTTTATTTCTTTAATTAAAAGCTAAGCAGCATATGAGTTGCCAATAAAGAAAGACAGGTATTTGAAAGGTATTTGAATTTGAGAAAAGAATCTTGCACTGACTTTTCTTGCTCTGTGATATCAACAAATAGAGAATAGTGCATCTCTGAGAGTATATGTGTGTTTGAAAAGAGTGAGCTAGACAGAGAGAATCAGAACTGTGTGGACCGACAGAATACAGACACCAATATGTAATTTATAACTCGATTAGGGAGGCGCTGTAATAACTATTATCCCACCCTGACTAACATTAATTCTCCTCACACTATTTAGGTGAGAGAGGATGCTAGTGCAGTTGACTGCAGCTTCTCAACCCATGCATTTTAGTTTTCATGTAATTAAATAATTTATCTATTTTTATTTCATTTTTCCAGTTTAGTTAAATGTTGTTTAATTTAATATAATAATTTACTGTGATATTGTACTTTACTGCTATCCTACTTTTCTGGCGTTCTCACTTGGTGTGACTGGTGTGGTATCTGTTTCTTCTGGCCCTGTGTGTATCAACGATGATATGAGGTTGAAGTTGGGGTGTGTGTGGATCCGTTGTCGGCCTGGTGGTCCGCTTGGGTATCGCTTAATGACATTTGCGACTCTTAGTACTGTGATTTTCACAGTTCGTCAAGAATACTCGGAAGGTCAAATGGTGGAATGGGCTAGCAGTTACAAGTATCTTAGGCTTATCATTGATAATAAGTTGTGTTTCGATACTCATGTTGAGGCAGTATGCAAAAAAAGTCCACCAGTGGTTCTCAAACCTGTCCTGGAGGATCACCAACACTGCACGTTTTCTTTGTCTCCTAATCAAACACACCTGATTCAACTCATCAGCTCATTATCACATGGGTTAATGAGCTGATGAGTTGAATCAGGTGTGTTTGATTATAGGGAGACATAAACGTGCAGTGTTGGTGGTCCTCCAAGACAGGTTTGAGAACCATGGGTTACTGTCAGTGTCTTCAGAGGCGCTCTATACTTTTAATATCAGTAGGACTCTTATGACTTTTCTATATGTTGTTGGAATGGTCATGTAAATAACGAAATTCATTGAATGGCCTTGTCAACCAAGGTAGTAAGATTATTTGCATTAAGCAGATTGGGTTGTCAAATACCTTTGAACAGTTTGTCTCACAGAAAGCTATAGAGCTATTCTTGCAGATTGTACTCCTCCAACTGCAGTTATTCCCACTGCTGTAAGGGTTTTAAACTTGTAATATGTCAGAATGTTGTGTTTTTGTTTGTGTGTTTTGTGTGATATGGTTACAAATTTTATGCAGCACCAAAAATCACCCTTTGGGTCCCTTTGAACATTGGATATCAGTATGCTGTTTTCTTTTTCTATATTTGTCATTCTTGTCTACGTTAATTTGATTTTGTGAAATATGAAATCAAGGCTCTGGAACGGCAAGATTATAAGGTACTCTTTTTCGGAACTTCTTTTACTGGGTCATCATTTGTCTCCTAGCATTTTTATTCAAGAAGTTTATGCTCATAGACCTACATGCTAATATCCTCAGTCTTTGGATAAGTGTGACAAGAATGCAACTTCCAAAATCAGTTTCACTCAGTTGTATCCCCGTTCAATGAACAAGGTTGAGGCGTTCCTCTATGATATAATTCTGGATAAGAAACTTGACTTTCTCTGCCTCTGTGAGACATGGCATCATCCAAATGACTGTTTAAATCCTATCTCACTGTTCATTTCCAGTACGTATGTTTGAGGTAAAATAAATCTGAACCAAAATTGGTACAGCAGGGTGTCCCGCAGGGTTCTCTGTTAGGGCCCATTTTGTTTCGCATATGTTGCCCCTTAAATGTACTATGTCAGAACGCACCCTGACCGTAACTCTACAATAACAGTGCTTACAAATTGTTTGGATGAAATAAAAGCATGGATGCAAGAACATTTTCTTAAAATCGAGTCAAAAACTGAAATTCTACTTTTTGGAATGCCGACAGCTCTGCATAAACAATTTCAATTTGTTAACTGGTTCCTATTCAGTATCTCCATCGTTTCAAGTGCGCGATCTTGTAAGTGTGTCGTCACTTACAATAAAAAATCAATGAGGCCACAACATTGCACAGCTTCTGGTTGTGAATCTGCCGAGATTTAAATTCCCGACATGTGATAACCTTTAACAGGTGAGAAAGTGTTGGTTTGTGTTTTTTATATGCATTAACTCAATATTACATATGGTAACTTTTTAATGTTGTTTTAGCTGATGCCTTCGTCTTGTAGTATTGTGTTAGTTTAGCAAAATCATCTGTTAAAGTCTATTGCAGATATAGATGTTCATACATCTTCTAACTACGGTTGCAGACTCGATCAACTTGCTGTTGAGTGTTCAATGACCGATCTTTGACCATCCCAATATATGGCAGACGGCTTATGTATAGCGGTCCATAGAAACAGCCTCTAATGAGGCTGAGGCTACATCTATGTGTCTATGGTTTTAAGACGCATCTTTTTAAATCTGCTTATTGTCTTCGAGTGTTTTTTCTTTTGTTTGTTTGTATTCTCTCTGTTTTAAATTTTTTTATTGTTTTACTGTTTTTAGTATTATTACTCTGTGGTGTAGCACTTTGGGTTTGAAAAAATTGCAATATAAATTAAATGTATGGTAAAGCTTTAGTTTAGGGCCCAATTCTCAATATTAAGTTGCTTATTAGCATGCATATTACTAGGATGTTGGCTGTATATTAGTACTTATAAAGGACATACTCTATTCTGCATGTCCATATTCTACATCCCTAATCCAATACCTAAACGTAACTATTAATAAACAGCAATTAGGAGTTTATTGTGGCAAAAGTCTTTGTTAATAGTTTTGTAGATCATAGTTAGAACTGGGCCCTAAACTAAAGTTTGACCAAAATTATTATTACACTCTATATAGATAAAGAGAATAAAACCGGAGTAATTCAGGGTCATTCAATCTCAAAAATAAAATGGCCAGACACAGCCATCTTCTCTTAAAATGACCTCATTGTGTCTTTGCAAAAATGCATTTATTATTGAGTTGCCCTCAAAAAAACATTTACAAATCTTTTGCTGAATTCAAATGGAGCTCATTTCCGCAGTTTCAATTATTCTTTGGCTCTTCGCAACACTGATCGGGTCACACTTGTTTTGCTCACAATTTTCCATTCATGAACCCTCATTGATGGTTTCCCTCCATCACAGTCCATCTTGAACCAAAGGAGCTGAAAAGATTATGTGCCAGGAAAACTTGATAACTCATGAAGGTTGCATTCATGAGTGAAACAGATTCAAACAGACTGATAACCAGTGATGTCCACTTATGCAAATGAAGTGATTAGACTGGGCAACACTATATATATATTTTTTGTTGTTGTTGTTTAAACATACTTGCAGATAAAGCAAAAAGCACATTTTTAAGTCTCTGGTATTCTGTCTCCTAAGCTGGAGTAAAACATGTATGCCTCCTTCCCATTTGAAC